GGTTATGCTAGTAAATTGCTATATTTTCTTTTGTAATAACTGATAACTGCTCTTCACAAAGTGTTCGCAAGTGTCCGTGAGCTTTCCGTCTGCGGTCCGGATGCGGTCAGCGTGCGGCGACATTCCTGACTGACTCCGGACGGAATTCCGTCGCAGTGGACGGCGGCCTTTAGAGCGCGCAACAGCGGCCTCCATTCCTCAAGAACGTAGATTTGAGAGGCCACCCCATGTCGGCGTCAATGGGCTCCGCTTCTCGATTTTCGATTCTTTGTGCAAATTGAACCTTGGTTTTTTTCGGTTTAAGGCAAAATTCTTCCAATAAAATTGTTAAGTTTTCTTTGAACTCTAAAAAAGGCAATTTTTCATCGATTTCGGGGGCTGCAGGGTCAATTCGCCCAAAATGCCCACCCTGGATCCGCCAGCGAGGTTTTGTGTTTTGGGTCGGACCCCCCCCCCCAATCCCAAAACCGTGGCGAAGCCCCTGCCCGACTACCGTCTATGTTATGAGGCGGACAAATTCTGAGAGGAGCAAAAAGTAGCAAAAGTTACAGTGTAACCCTTACCTAGAATTGTATGACGAATCGAATGGTGCCAAAATTAGAGTGTCAACTTTTGCCGAAAGTTGTTGATTTTCTATGTTTTTCCATATCGTACTGATCACTTAAACATCGTTTACAGTATCTTTTGATTTTGGAGCTGAGATTCCCAAAACTTGACAAATAAGTTATTGCAATGCATCCCCAAACTCCAAAATGATGTAGCCATTAAACCATATGTTACTTATCATGCTGCAAGTCGCTGCTTTCCAGTTATAAGCCAAAGAACCACGTGCTAGTTTTCAGCGTTCATTTCTACCCGGTGAGTAAAATAGGCAATGCCTGACTTTGAGCTCATTTTTTTTGTACTCAGAATTGTTCTTATGGGTAAAATGAGACACATAACTTGAAAATTCAGATAATTTTACGTAAAATGAGGTCAAAAGAATGATAGAAATGAGAATTCGGTTCTGGGACTTAACCCTCGCCGGCACAGGCCATTTTGCGTCCTTCGACGGCACAAGGGGGGGGGGGGGCTGGTACGACCCCCCTCGCGTTTGGCCCCTGATCGAGCTAGAGCTTCGCGGAAAAAACGAGCGTGTTGCCCGTTGCCCGAGAGGAAGCCGATGATACCCAATTTTAAGGTCCTAGGTCATCGGGTGACCTTCCAGGTCAGGTCAATGACCCGAAAACCGGGAAAATCGGGACCTGTTAGAAAGTCGTAAAGTGTGGCTGCTATGTGGTTTTCCGGGGTGCTGATCACGAATATCGTGTTAGTTTTGATCAGAGATGATGTTTTTGAGCATTTAGACCAGGTCGGGTCAGGTCAGGTCAGGTCAACCGGTAGGGGTTGTGACGGGTATTCGTAATACGTGTCAACCGCCTCTGACAGCTTCGTAACATGTTACGAAGGCACCAAAACTACTTCGTAAATGTTCAAATGGTTGCTAAATTCGAATTCAGCTCCAAAAACTAGCCTAGAAAAACATTTAAAACTCGAAAAAGTGAACCGAGGTCACCCGAGGTCACCAAAGGTCAATGACCTGACCTGACCTTCAGGTGACCTTGACACCCACCCTAATATATGGGAGCAACATCAAATCACATGTTTGAACGTTTGAAACCACGAAAAGCTTGCAAACGCGCGGCTAATGCGAGCCGACATACGCCGAATCGCGATTTCGGCCAAACATGGTCACGGAAAAGAGGTCACAGGTCAAAGGTCATTATGGTCAGGGTCATGAAATTTTCAGGGTACGTGTAAAATTGATCAATGCGAGGGTACTGAAAGTTTCGTCGCGATCGGCCGCTTTTTACGCGAGTTATTCGCGAAAAACTTTAGGGGGGTTGCATCAACCCCCCCCCCATGCCGGCGAGGGTTAAGACAGGCTAGATCGGAAATATTCCTACGGTGCACTGACCAGCCGTCACCGAGAGGGAGGTCACTGCGCGGCAGCGGACCACTGACCAGCCGTCACCGAGAGGGAGGTCACTGCGCGGCAGCGGACCACTGACCAGCCGTCACCGAGAGGGAGGTCACTGCGCGGCAGCGGACCACTGACCAGCCGTCACCGAGAGGGAGGGTCGCTGGGTACAACGAGACTCCAGGTGGAGGGGGTGGACTAGTGGTGTCAATCGGAACTTAAATCTTCGGAATTCCGATTTTGTCCAATATCCAATTCGGAATTCGGTTGGACAATGGCAGCAGGCTTTGGACAACTTTGGACAATCGCTTGCTACACCTCAACATTTTAAAAAGTAGTCGTGTTTAACATTTATTGGCTATTAGAAAGCTCAGCTTTCGATATGATTAACACTTTTGAGCTTGTAACGGTACATGAAAAGCAAATTAAATAACAGTGTTGAGTGTAAACTATTGCGTAGGTGTCGGACATCTTTGGACAAATGGCTGGCTTGGACATTTTTGGACGGACAATCGACGTAAGCATTGGACATTGGACGGACTTTGGACATACGTTTTCTGAAATTGACACCACTAGGGTGGACACTAGACCCTCTGGTGTCCAGGCTGTATGACTCGGCATAGGGCAGGGAGCACAGGCCAGTCTGGTGTTCAGGCTGGACACAGGTCACAGGCCAGTCTGGTGTCAAGCAGACAAGGCTGCATGGCCGGACACCGGTCAATCTAATGTCCACGCTGGACACAGGACACTGATAAGTCTGGTGTCCAGGCGGGACACAGGACACTGATAAGTCTGGTGTCCAGGCGGGACACAGGGCACCGATAAGTCTGGTGTCCAAGCGGGACACAGGACACCGTTAAGTCTGGTGTCCAGGCGGGACACAGGACACTGATAAGTCTGGTGTCCAGGCGGGACACAGGACACTGATAAGTCTGGTGTCCACGCTGGACACAGGACACCGATAAGTCTGGTGTCCACGCTGGACACAGGGCACTGATAAGTTTGGTGTCCACGCTGGACACAGGACACTGATAAGTCTGGTATCCAGGCGGGACACAGGGCAATGATTAATCTGGTGTCCAGACTAGACACAGGGCACCAATAAATCTGGTGTCCAGTCAGTCTTAAACGTACCGCACTATGTACCGGTCCAGCCTGACGGATCCATCAAGCCTGACCGAGGAAGGGCCTGCTATAATTTGAAAGTCACCGAACCAATTGACCTGGGGAATAGACGAGGATGTCCATTGCTTCGGTGACTCAAATTTAGTAGCCCCTCCACGGTCGGGCTGGATGGATCCCCCGCCGCACTGTTGCGCGGTACTTTTAAGACTGACTGTCCAGATTGTAGTCCAGAATTCAGGAGAGGTCACCAGTAGGGAAGGCCAGCCGCCAGACGATGCTCTGATACGGAGAGTCGCTCATGACATGCTCCATCTCCACGAGCTGGCAAGCAGCTCAGCTGTTGCAGCCGCAGCCGCTGTCTCCAGCACCTGGCGAGCAGCTCAGCTGCTGCAGCCGCAGCCGCTGTCTCCAGCACCTGGCGAGCAGCTCAGCTGCTGCAGCCGCAGCCGCTGTTTCCAGCACCTGGCGAGCAGCCGCTGCAGTCGTGAGCGCGGCCCAGAACGCTACTGTAAATAATCATCTGGCAGTAAAAGACGCCTAAATAGCAGAGTGATGGGTAATGACGCTGAACTGCCGGCCTACTCCATCACCAGGCCATGGTTTACAGCATGTAAAAACAGGTGGCATTGGTGTGCTCCCTCCACTTGGCCGCTTAGCATGCTGGAAGTAGAAAAATCAACGAGGTGCGTTGCTAGATACGTTACTCGTTAGACATTATTCGGACTTTCCATCAGATTAATCGGTGGCCCTAGACATTAGGGTGTGTCATATCAGAACTTTTTATTTCAGATCAAGCGCTTCCGCTGATTTTCTTTGTCTCTCTGCCCAATGAAGCCCTGTGGTATCTTTCTTTGAGCTCTGCACGAAAAATTCGAGCGGCGTTGGCCGAAACAACTTTAAGATTTTCACCAGCGCCCGGCGTTGCAATTTCCATCCTGAATACATGCGCGCGGTGACACTAACACCAGCCCCGTCAGGCAAATCGTCTCGGCTGGTTGCGACCAACACTGTTCGGCGACGGAAATTCGATAGTGGTATACTAATCCTATGTATCCTGAACGATCCTGACAGTTAATTTTATGCGTGTAAAGGTTCACAGACTGTAATTGAATCATTGACCGATGCCTATACAGGTGGCCATCCGGTTTGGAAAGGGAACGTCAGTGAGCAAAATCACGTCGGTTTTATCTTGCGTGTCGAGAAGCTACAGTAAGCCGGTGAAGACATAAATAAAGGCCGTAAAATCAAAACAACGATATAAGAATGCATCCAAAACTCATACGGTGTTGATGCATTTTTTCTACTTGAACCACCCATTGATAACCGTGCATTCAATCGTGTTATAGCGGCCAACATCAAGAGCCTGAAGAAATTCAGCCGCATATAGCTGGTGGCTAAAAAGACTCTCCTTCCAATCAACCTCGATGAGACATGTATTCGAGAACGATGCTAAATTACAATAACCATAGCGGTACCGACGGACGAACATAGAGGTGCTGAGCTCAAGGCATGTTCAACGAGCTGTGAGCCCCGCCCCAGGTGAAACGACAGACCTGGGAAAGACTTTCGCTAAGGTGTAAGGGACAGAAAATGACGGTGTAACTGTATGCCCGCTTACCTCATCGAGTTACATAAATGGCGACACTGATTGAATATGCCGCTTTCTGGAACTCATTCGATTGAGTCAATGGTTCTTCGGAAAATCAAGAGATTGGTCTGCTAACTTCAAAAGAATATGCTCTTACCGAAATATATAATTCAGAAGATGTCGCAGCTGCGTGCGTGCGTGCGTGCGTGCGTGCGCGTGCGCGCGTGTGCGTGTGCGTGTGCGTGTGCGTGTGTGGGTGTGGGTGGGTGTGGGTGTGTGGGTGTGTGTAGTGTGTGTGTAGTGTGTGCCTATTATCTGCAGACTTACATTTCAATGATGAAGGGGTGTCGCACGACCGAGAGGACGAGCTTCTCGTTGCGGATGTGTTCGACCTGCTTCAGCCGGATGACGTCCTGAATGGCCAGGATCTTCATGGCCCAGTAGGAGCGGGTGGCCTTCTCGCGACACAGACACACGCGCCCAAACGTGCCCGTCCCTGTCGGCCACAAAGCGGCGTGTCGTCAGCTCGGCCGGACTGGGCCCCGGCCTCCCGGTCAGCCAGCGCAGCGCAGTAGCAGCAGCTGTCACCGACCTGCAGGCCGCCGCGCAGTAGCAGCAGCTGTCACCGACCTGCAGGCCGCCGCGCGCCTCCCACCCGCCCTGCTGTCGGCGCTTCCGAGGTTCCGATTTCGAATTTCATCTTAGTTTTGATCAAAGCTGATGTATTTATGCTTTTATGATAGATCGGGTCCGACCAGGTCAGCCAGTAGGCGTCCCCCGGCAACTTCCCTTCCTGACTCCATCCCAGCCTGACGTGCGCCACATTTGTAGCCCGGTGAAGGTCAGCAGTTGAGAGCATGAGAGCTCTGATTGATTGAGTGAAGTGTCAAGTTATTCAAATTGATTGAGTGAAGTGTCAAGTTATTCAAAGAAGAAAAGTAAAAAGGTTATAGAAATCATCCATCATGAGTTCAAAAGCACCTACCACTAGGGGGCGTTACATGTCAACTAGCAGCCAGCAACAAGTTGGTAAGGAAGGTGCCGATAAAAAAGAAGAAGAAAGCGCCAAAACATCCCGAGACAAAACTGGAGGGCATGGACCGCAGGATCTGTCCAGTGAGAGTGATTATAGCCAGGAAAGTGATGAAGATGTTGATCTGGGTGGAGGAAAAGTGAGTGGTTGGTCACCAAGTGGGAAAAAGAAGAAAGAAAGGTATGTGTGCAAGGGGGACCCAAGCAATGTGGGCTGAAAATCTTGGCTAAGGATGATAGTATTATGTGCGATGCTTGTAGGCAGTGGTACCATCCTAGGTGTCAGAAGCTATCTGACAAGGAATTTAGGGCTCTGTCCGAGTTCGACTTCCTATGGGTGTGTATGGAGTGTAGACCAAACATTATACCCATCGCTGAACTGAGAAAAGAGTTCCGTGAGGGCATGGAGAACATTGAGAACAAAATTACGCAGGCACTGAACGACGCCAAGTTCAAAAAGGAGATAGAACAAAAACTCCAAGCACTAGAAGACAACGTTATGAAGCGCGTGAAAGAACAACAGGAGCGGGTTGAAAAATCGATCAAGGAACAGGTTAATGTGGTGCAGAAACTGCCAGAATACACAGCAGAACTGAAAACAAGTGCTAAAAATCTGCAGAAGATAGTTGAAAACAAGGCAGAACATGATGCTCGAGAAAGGAACATACTGCTGCACAACATAGAAGAAAGCCAGTCTGACAATCCAGAGGAAAGAAAACATCATGACACATAAATATTTCAAAGATTAGTGACTTCACTGACAGGCAAACAGGATGTAGAAATAGTCAACATCTACAGACTAGGGAAAAAACCTGAGAACAATGGAAATGAAGGAATGAATGCACGGAAGCGACTGATGCTGGTGAAAGTGAAAGACAGAGAAATTGTTAATGAGTTGATCAGGAAGAGAACAAAGTTGAGAGAAGTGGGCTTCCTGAATGTTTACCTGACCAGGGACCTCTCGCCTGAAGATCGTGAATCTCAAAAAAAGTTGAGGATGGAACTGGAGCAAAAAGGAAAAACAACCCACAAAATCTTTCGAGGTAAGGTCGTCCCTCGCTAGCGTGAAGCAGGACCAAGATAGAAGGTTTTTAAAATGTATGTACACAAATGCCAATAGTCTTAAAAACAAGTTGAGTGAGTTGAGACTGCGTATTGATGAAGGCAAACCAGATGTAATAGGGATTACAGAAGTGTGGACAAAACATGAAATTGTTCTACAAGGCTATCACCCTGCCTACAGATATGATAGAGAAGAAGATCAAAAAGGAGGAGGTGTCATGCTCTTTGTTAAAAGTGACCTGGAGGTGTTAGATTGCCCATAGCTGAGCAGTCCCAATATAGAGTCTGTTTGGTGTTATGTCAAATTGTCATCCAAGGAAAAACTGTTAGTGGGTGTCTGCTACAGGCCACCAGCCAGTTCTGTTGAGTACAATGAAGGATTAAACCATTTATTGAAGCAAACTCCTTCAACACGAACTAAGCATATATTAGTAATGGGTGATTTTAACTACCCGCGGATTGATTGGGATACTGGCTCAGTTGATGGTTCTGAGGGATCAAGTCAAGAAAGATTTTTTGATGCTGTCAATGACTTGTTCTGGTTACAATGTGTCAACTTTCCCACCCGCTCCAAAGAAGGAAATGAACCGTCCTTGCTAGATCTAGTATTTGCAAATGAAGAAAATGCCATTGAAAGCATTGTGGGATCTGACCCACTGGGTAAAAGTGATCACTGTGTTATCACATGGAAATACGTCTACATTAGCAAGAGACCAAACAGAATTAACCAAGACAAACCACAGGGTAGAAACTTTAAGAAAGGTAATTATGCTCAAATGTCTGATGACCTTAGTCAGATAGACTGGTCAATTCTTGAAAACATGGGAGTAGAACAAACTTGGAGCAAGATAAAGGATATTGTCAATATCAGCATTGAGCAACATGTACCCTTGTCACATCAAAAGAACACCGTACCTTGTAGTCCATGGTGGACTAAACGACTTGAAGTGGCTGTAAAGTTAAAGTACAGCTTGTGGAAAGAGTACAGAAAGACTAAAACTACAGAAGACTACAAGAGATACACAGTGCAGAGAAACAAGACAACTAGTCTTATTAGACTAGCAAGGTGTCAGCACGAAACCAAGATTGCTGAACATGCAAAACAAGACCCAAGTAGTATATCAAGGTACATAAGGTCACAACAGAAATTGAAGCCAAAGGTTGGACCACTTACAACTGAAAACGGTACATTGACACAGAGTGACATGGAAGCAGCCGAAGTGTTAAACAAGTTCTTCCAAAGTGTATTTGTTGAAGAAGACGATTCTGAAGTTCCGGAATTCCCAGCTCGTGTACAGGACGAAAATATCCTGGAGCATATCGAACTAACACTACAAGAAGTGCACAGGGAATTAGAAGCCCTAGATATCAACAAGTCGGCAGGACCAGATGGCATACCCAACAGTGTAATGAAAATGTGTGCAGATCAAATGGCTGGACCATTGAAATGCCTCTTCCAGAAAACCTTGGACTTGGGCAAGCTACCAGTTGATTGGAAGCAAGCAAGGGTAACACCACTATTCAAGAAAGGGTAAAAAAAAGCCCCAGGAAATTATAGACCCATCAGTTTAACAAGTCAACCATGTAAAGTTTTGGAGAGAATAGTTAGAAAACGCATTGTTGAACACATGGATGACCATGACCTGATCTCAAAACACCAGCATGGTTTTACAAAGAGAAGATCATGCCAAACCAACTTGATTGAAGCAATGGAAGAATGGACCAAAACATTGGATGACGGACATGCTTTGGACATAGCATACTTGGATTTTCAGAAAGCGTTTGATACCGTACCGCATAGAAGGCTAAAGAAGAAATTGTATGGCTATGGAATACGAGGAAGACTGTTAGACTGGATTTGTGACTTTCTGCACAACCGCCGACAACATGTGACTATAGGAAATAGTACTTCGAACTCAGTGTATATAAATAGTGGTGTGCCACAGGGTTCTGTTTTAGGTCCAACATTGTTCTTAATTTATGTCAATGAGTTGCCAACAGTGATCAAAAGTAGCATAAAAAATGTTCGCTGACGACGCCAAAGTGTATCGACCAATCCGACTTGATGATGACGTAGCTGCACTGCAGGCCGACCTACAAGCTCTGTGTGCATGGTCACTGAAATGGCTGCTGAGGTTCAATGTTGCCAAGTGCAAGATAATGCATTGTGGGTTGTCAAACCAACATAACCGGTATTACATGACAGAGAATGGTTTGAATAGAGAACTCAAAGCAACTACCATGGAGCGTGATCTTGGCGTGGTAACCACAAGCTCCCTCAAAGCAACTGAACACTGTTATCAAGCAGCCAATAAAGCTTCTTCAGCATTAAGATTACTGAAAATTGCTTCCGCTAGCCTCAACATGAACAACTTTAAGCCATTGTACACATCCTATGTGCGCCCTCATCTTGACTACTGCCTGAGTGCTGTCGGACCCCATTTAATTCAAGATCTTAAAGCCTTAAGGCCGCCCCACACTGGACCTCGCATGCGGGTTGCGAGTTTGCGGGTTTTGAGTTTGCGGGCATAATACTAATTCATAGAGTGATTAGACCGTTCCCTTATGGTAACTTTATGAATGCAATGAAGCCGGTACACCTTCAGAAAATTACATATAGGTCGCAATACAGCGCAACGAACCAAAATTCGATTCCAACGAAAAACCCGCAAACCTCGCAGACCTCGCAGACCTCGCAGCGAGGAAAATCGAAAGTTGACCCAAAATCAACTTTTGGAGTGCGATGCAAGGTCGCTCGCAAGCTAAAAACATGCAGACTCGCTTGTTAGATGGTAGTGTGGGTCACTCATTTTAGATTGTATCATTTGATTTTGAAAAAACCCGAAAACCCAAAAACTCGCAACCCACCTGCGAGTTCCAGTGTGGGGCGGTCTTTAGAGAAAGTCCAACGGCGTGCTTCGAAACTGGTTCGTGAAATCAAACATCTTCCATACCATCAACGACTGGAAAGGCTGGAACTACCTACCATTGAAGAGAGGCTCAGCAGGGGTGACTCGATAGAAGCTTACAAGATCCTAACAGGTAAACTCGCTGTCGATCCAAACCAGTTTTTCGAGAGGAACTTTGATGACAGGACAAGGGGGCACCACCTAAAGCTCGCAAAAAGAAGATGCAGCAGTCAAGCACGGGCCAAATTCTTTACAAACAGAGTGGTTACTGCCTGGAACAGTTTACCAGAGGAAGTTGTGGCTGCAACATCTACAAACCACTTCAAAAATCTGCTGGACCGACATCGGGCTGCTGCACCCTAACCTGTCATCTTGTCCCAAACCAGTATGATGTGGGTACTGAATAGACTGTGTCTAAACCTAACCCACTACATAAACCTAAACCTAAACCTATCCACAAGAGTTGAAAGGCTTGAAACAGTGTTGCCAGGTC